TTCTTATATTTATATAAGAACTGAATGTAACATAGTTACTCAATTGTGCTGTAAAATGGTTACTATGTGCCTGGAAAATATAGAATACAGCTGCTTTAAATGTAATAAGTCAAAGAATGGTCTGTTTTTGCTTCTTTTTTCCCCCCTTCGTAGGTCAAATGTCCTTGAAACATCTGATGAGGGCTACCTAAAGAGATGCTTCCATGATACAGAGAACCATCCCTACTGCCCCATCTTCCGCCTCAGAGATCTGGTCAGCAGAACGGGGCATGACTTCCAGGAGATGGCTGTTAAGGTAGAGAGAAGCAACTGGTTTCACTTGATTTTTCTCGCGGCGTTCATAAAAATCCCCCTTGGATTATATGTAACATATACAAACTAAAACAACTGTTCAGTTCAACATCTCGTTCATGTTGAGCGACGGAGAGAAATGTGAATGTCAGAAACCAACGGATGAGGGACTATCATGAGGTTAGCATTGGTGGTGGTTTTTATATTTATATATTTTTTAACAATTTTTCTTGTTTATGGCTGCAACTAACAATTATTTTTATAATTGATTGACCTACTAAATATTCTGACATTCAATTAATCGAATAAAGAAATGAAAACATTACATAAATGTATTTTTTTTAACCACTCAAGCTCTTTTTCTTTTTAATAAAATATTACAAATACACTAAAAGATTCAAATAAATAATTTTCTTATTTAAGAAAAGAATTGGATTAATATTTTATTGCCTGAAATTCAATACCAAAGCATTCCTTTAGTAGATCTGAACCGGTTACAGGATGTCATCTGTTGCTGTTGAAATGCTTGGATAAAATGTCATAATGCTGCATTTCTATTCACTCCTTTTACTTGGATACCCATAAATAAAATCCAGTGCAAAAAAAATTGCTTTCAGAAGCCACCTGTTGAAACTCCTGTTGGTTTACAAGTCTAGATCAAACTTGGAAAGTACCATCTAGTTTTATCAGATCAAGAATCCAGAGAAAGCCCAACTAGTTTATAAATTACAGACCACCTATTCTTAATCATGGGGAACCAATAGGTAGTTTTATACTTTTTTGTTTTCTTTTGCTCTTTCCTTTGTTGTTGTACTTTCTTCTAATTCATGTAAAGCACTTTGAGCTGCCTTGTTGCTAAAAATGTGCCACATAAACAAAATTACCTTACCTAATTAGCGAGTGGCAGAGAAAAAAAAGCTTAAGTTGAATAAACCCACATGAAGTCAAGTAACGCAACTCGCCGGGCGTTAACTCTGACCTTCTTGATTTCATGATGACCTGTCACTTTGTTTTCCATAGATACTGTCTCACCTTGGGCTCACTGTGTGTGTTCGACAGGGGGGCTCTGTCGGTGTCCTCATCGAGTGGAACTGCGACCTGGATAAGGACTCGTCAGAGTGTAATCCACAGTACAGCTTCACCCGTTTGGACATGAACTTAAACAACTCTATCACATCAGGATACAACTTCAGGTACGATGCTTCTGCTTAACTTTCTCCTTTTTTTTTTTTTTTTACATATTTGGTTAACCTGAACCGTTTCCCTTTTCTCCTCCAGACATGCGAGGTATTACAAAGATCAAAATGGTGAAACGTTTCGCACACTGTACAAAGTGTATGGGATTCGATTTGACATCATGATCAATGGGAAGGTAAAGCAACTCGCAAGGAAACTACAGCGGGTAAAAAGTGTTGAACATGTCAGCGTTTTGCCAGTTTCGATATTTAGGGACGCCGTTGATGTAAAATTCACACTAAATGTTGCCAACATGTTGAAATATGAAGAAATTAATGTGCAGAAAGGCAAGAAGCCAGCTGAAATATGTTGCTATTTAGAGACCAAACCTGCTGCTGTGTTCAAATCTACATCAGTTAGTTTAATATGAGCTACTGGAAATTAGAAAATATTTTTGGTTTTAGTAATATAAATCTCTTCAATCAAGTTTTATATTTTGTTCAAAGAAATTCTTGTTTTAACGAGCTTTGTATCTCATTTTAATGAGTTACTGCTCCCCAAGTAATCCATTTATAACAACATTGGAAATATTTAAACAAACAAACAAAAAAAACACTGATTTGTTCTGTACATAATTTACCTGCTGCGTGTGATTCTACAAATAAAATAAATGTTTTGTTGTTTTGCAGGCTGGGAAATTCAACATCGTTCCTACAATAATTGCGATTGGCTCAGGCGTTGCTCTGATGGGCATCGTAAGTAATTTATTAAAATATGCAGTGGATGCAGTGCGTCGCAAATATATTTAGAGACTTTGAGCTTCTTTGCATGATGGACACTTTCAAACTTTAATTAGGATTTTATGCGATGGACCAACACCAATTAATGCATTATTGTAAAGGGGGCAGAAAAAGATGCTTCAGATTTTAGTGAAGCCTGGAGTTCTTTTGCTTCCTGTACCAAACACACTTCCAGGTTTTCTTTTCTTAGGAAAGATGTGTTTAGCCTCTTCCATCTCCACGCCTGTCACCACAGATGTTGCGTTCAGTGTCGGCTCTGTGGCTTTGTCTTCATGTCAGCAATCTGGGTTTGCAGTGTAACTGATGTCAGTACATAATCTTTGCAAACAAACAATAATTACTAGTGTTAGGTTCCTTACACTTTATCGTTAAATTCGTATCTGACACACGCTCAGCCTCAACGTTTCTGCTCCTCATATATGGAACACCAACAAGGCCAAAATGGTGTGAAATTCATGTCTTCCAAAATACATCAATATACAGGCAGCTGAAAAATGAGTAATCACGCCACCAACAAATGGCCGATTGTTTTCATCCAATCAGCATATTTCTTGGATGAAAAAGGACCAATCACAACAAACAAGTCAAAATATTCCGGGAAGTGACAGAAATTACAAATCAAAACTGTAGAATTTCAGAAAAACACAAAAGAACATAGAACACTTAAATTTTGTAGTCTGATAATATGTAGTTAAGGAAACAAATGTGGTTTGTGCATTTCAGCTAAGATTTTTATGTTTCTTAAGTTACTATGATGTGATCCTGCGCCACAGTACCAGTCAGCTCACACCCTCTGCACTTTTGAATAGCTTGCTGCACCACCGGTTTCAATACATGTATGATTCCAGTTCCACTTCACAATGATGCAATACATTGTGTTGGTTTATGGTTTTAAAATCTCAAAGTACATTGAAATCTGTGGTTATGTGACAAAGTAAAAGTGATATGAATAGTTCTGCAGGGCATTGTTTTACAATTTCAGAAGAGAAATAAGTATCCTCCTGTGGCTTTGAGAGTTCGGGTCTTATGTTTGTCTTGCAGGGAGCCTTTGTGTGTGACATGATACTTCTCTACATGATGAACACGAGCTCCTTCTACCGAGAGAGGAAATTTGAAATAATCAACTTTAAGTATGGCTCAATGGCACAACGTTTTTTTCCCCCTTCTTATCGCCTCCATGCAAGCTTTTCTATTTATTTATTTTTACAGAAAAGAGAAAAATAAACAGAAGGACGATAAAGCAAGCAACCGGGATAGGAGATCCAGAAAAGCCGGTGCAGACAAAGATGCAGCCAACTCTATCAAAAAGCTGGAGGAAACTGAACTAACGGTGGAGACGTCTGCTCCTGAGAAGAGCCACGCGGAGAAACGGGGTCCCACCGTTCCACGCAACACGGGGCAGCGATACTCAGCCGTCCAATCCAAACAAGGCGCAGCGCCAAAGCATCATATAAGTTTCTCTTCACACAACTAGCATGGCGGGCAACTGAACACTACTGGACTGCAGACGTCTCTTTAACGCTGCGGAAAGCGAACCCCAGTGCCAGACTGACGTCTGCTGCTGGCCCTGTCCCTGACTGATGATGTGTTGAAGGATGGAAATCTCAAATGTTCTGCAGCACGCATGAGGGACCAGGCAGTCACAGGAGGAGGGTGATCGTTATGTTCAATGAGTTAAACTAAAACTTTGTCAGAGCTGAATGCTTATCAAGCCGTAGTCACCAACAAGAATCACTAAACATGCAGATGTGGGGCAGAGCAGTGAGGGCCGAGGGTTTGAAAAGGACTCTGTGAGAATGGAGATGGTACCAGAGTGGCGACATTAAAGGGCCCGTTTGTAAAGTTGCATGACGAATTGCGCCACTGTTGCATCTGTGTTCTCCAAAGGCTTGGCAGTCCCACGATGCAAGCACTCAATCTCATATCAAACGTATATTTGTGTTGATAATGTGACTGTCGGATGTTGCGACCTGTAAAGTAATCGTCCAGCTTGTTAAGACAACACTTCCTTTGGTAGCCGTTTCACAAAAATTGAATCACTTTCATTTGCATCACTGGTCTTACTAGAGGCAAATCCACTATGGGATATTAGGGCAGTTGGAAAAAACTCAAATTTGTAAAACATTTACAAAAAAAAAAAGGAAATCAATTACTTTTTTTAAATTAAAAAGTATCTTGAGTTTCAAAAGTTAAAACATTTTTTACTTTTGAAGCTCAATTTTTTTCCAGAATTTTATTTTTACTCTACAATAAGCCATTGTACAAACCTGATTATTTTCTGCTGGACTTTTTTTTTGGTAAAGATTGCAGTTTGTTACAGTAAAGCGATGACCCTTGTGAACATCCTTTAGTTTTTCTTAAAACTAATCCATGTGAGTAAAATGTGAACATTTTTGAAAGGAAGATATAGAAATAGAAAAGGTCAGGGTACAACATGATTTGTAACAGACATGTCAAAGATGCTTTTGGAAATATGAAAAAAAAAAAAAAAGATGGGTTTTCCTGTTGGACACCGACTATTTAGTGAAAATGATTTATGTGAACTGTTAATGCTGCTACTTTTTATCTGCAATTTGATTTCCAGCCAGCGGACACAACGTGTTTTGATCATGTACATGAAGCCATCTGCTGTGTGTGTTAGTTCTTCGTTTGAATGGATGCTGAGTTTTTTTTCAGTCTGTTCTACATAATGTTGATTTACTGCCTGACTCATTAAGAGATTAATGCAAAGCAATCTGTACAGAGGTTTTTATTCCAATCAGTTGCAATAATAACCATGTTTTACATGAAAATGTTGCCACACTTTATTAGGATTTTACAAGCTAAGCTATTAATCATTGTGGTCATGTTACTGGTAGCTGTAGTAGGACTACAGTAAAACTGACACTTCTTCAAACCATCTACTCACAACAGAAATATTTAGTCTTTCACTACAGGGTTGAGCTACGAATAGCAGCAGGATAGACAAACCTAATGACTTACATAGCATCATATCGAAACATTTCAGGGCTGATTGTGGGTGGTCGTCTCAGTAAACATGCACCATCCCGTACAAGAAAGTCCAGAACAGAACGTAGGTGAAAAGCCCTCCGACCAGGCCTCCGGTGAAGAGCAGCCGCCGCGATTTGAAGCACTTGTTCCACCGCCGTCCGGCCTTGAGGATGAGCAGCAGGGACAGCAGGAAGGATGAGAGGAAATAGAAAACAAACCCGTAGAGCCCCGTCAGCCCGAGGATGCCAGCCGTCGCCCCCGACAGAGCGGAAACGGAGGTGCGGCAGTAGTCCAGCACGACGGCGTTGCCCCTCACCGCCACTTCGCTGATGAACTGTGGTCCCTCGCGCTTGGCCCCAACTCCTGCCATCTTGGCTTCTTTGGTCTACCACCAGAGGGTGCTGTCGTAACAGGAAACATTAGCATGTTTAGGAAGCAGACATGGTTACAGAGACAACGGGCTCAAATCGTGGCAGCTATTGTGGCACTTTTGGTGACAGCTGCCGTAAGGTGGCACCCCGTGCCAGGTTGCGGCGGTCCGTGGTCCCATACGGCAATTGTCACCGGAAGTGCCGCAATAGCCGTCACTGATTTGAGCTCCGCCCTGCTCCAAAGTTAGGCTACTCTCGTCCAATCTTAACTAAACAACTGCTGTTTTTGCACATTTATATTGCCAGAGTAACGTTACAAAGTGAAGTGCACTATAAACAGCTGTAACAGGTTTTAAATAGCTACATGGCCACATTTATCTGGTTAATTCCGTCTCTTCTTTCCACCTGTCAATTTATAGTTGTACTGAATTCCTTCAGTTTTACATTCTATGGACGAGGACGACGGCCACTGAAAAAAAAACTTTTTTCCTCAGATTTTAAGCAGCAATAGAGAGAGACAGCTCTGTAACAGCAATATTATTGTCCATTTATCTTGTTACCCACCACTTATAATCTCGTCAGAAACCGCATATGCTTTCATCCAGAAATTAAAAAAAGTAAATTATGTGTAAATCTTGAATAAAACTCTGAATCCAAAGACAGTATCGACAAGTCAGAGCTTTAAATAATGCGCAGGTTATTTGATCAGAGCATCTATAGAAACTTTGTCCCACTATTATTGACAGATAACGTTTGAAATGCAGCTTTATGAATCTATTATTATTAATGAGCTTGCAATTGCTGGGTTAGTAAGATCAAACTGATGCATTTGACAAATTAATCACAAAGATAAAACAACCGAATAACAATGGAAGTACAGAAACATTAAAAGAACCAAATATGAATCGGCTGGTGCTAGCTTAGGCCGAAGTGGAGCTATTAGTTAGCTTCTGTACATTAAACAAATCCCTAAAATCCCAGTAAAATCACCGGCCTGGACTCCAGCCACCAAGTAAGCACTCGGTGCTCCAATGTGACCATGAGTAGGCCAGACTGTATTTTAACTCAAACCTGCTGCTTTACATTCATGTCACTGCTGCTGCTGACAGGCTAGCTCTGTTAGCTCTCGCTAAGAGTGACGACCACTCACCGGATTTTAACGAAGTTTTCCAATTTCACTCGATGAAATTATTGCAGCATAATAATAATAGCACAGAAGGTTACTTCACACCGTTGGGCATCTGGTGATTTAGTAAATATCAACTGCTCTAGCTCAGACACGACACATTCATCCTCACAGGACTGACACTCCTAGCCGAAAGTCAACCATGCTCCTTCGCAATGTATTGTGGGTACAAGACAGTCATCAAACAAGACGGGTGTGTTTGTAAGACGGGGAAAAGTAGGATATTATCGTTTTAAAGCAAAAATTCACCCAAATTTTGTAAATTTCATAGATGTTCCTATGCTAGACACGCTATATGCTCACAATATCCAAATTTACAGAGAGAAGGATTTTATTCAAGTGATAAAATTCAAAACATGAATAAGCTTTTGTGTAAATATTTATATATTTAACTATACCATAAAATTAATTTATGTGTTCAATAAATAGATAATTATTTTTAACGATAGTTATTGATTTTTTTAAACCATGTAATCAATTATACATAATGAAAAAATAATTACATTTTTATATTTGTAAGCTAATATATAAACATAAAAAATTTACCTGTATTCAACAAATCTTCATCTAAGATTAAGTACGTGATTATTTTAAATAATCCCAAAGATCTAACACGCCTGCCCAAATATAGTTAAATAGACTTTAAACAGAAAAGGAGCACCAGAAGTACCAACAATTAAACAGAGTGGCTATACGCAAATGAAAGATTTATTCACACTTGTTTCAAAATAACAATACATGTCCAAAAGTACAGCATACATAGTACAGGTATTAACCAAAGAATTATTAATTAAAGAAAGGAATTACTGAAATAACATTTTTTATTAGCTGTTCTGCAGCAGCAGACTGTTTACGGACACTTCTGCTTTCTTTGTGACTCCCGATTTAATTTTTGTAACGTGAACGCAACACAGTCGACTTTGCCTTCAGGATGATGTGCAGCAACTAGCAGAGCCAGCAGTCATGTCTAACTTCATCCTGGGGATAGATTTGGGCACCACGTCGGTGAAAGCTGTATTATTGGCAGCGGGCTGCAGAACTGTGGCTGCGGGTCACTCGGAACCAACCGCTGCCGATCTTAGCGACGATAGCGGGATAAAGGTGAGCTGCTCGCTCAACTTTCCTCCACCGTTGACGGAACTGACCATAGCTCAGCTCCTGTCTGTGTCATCCAGGCGAAAGAGCAGGACCCCGGTGCGATAATAAACGCTGTGAACCGATGCTTGGCTCAGCTACCCGGAGACAAACTGCAGCATGTCAGCAGGGTCGGCCTCACGGGACAGATGCATGGGGTTCTGTTCTGGAAGGCAAATAGCGGTAAGAGGACTGTGTCTGCTCTGACACTTCAAAATAAAGTACATTGTGGCGAAAGTGCAATGAGCTGCAAAAAACTAGCTTGTCTCGCTATGAAAAAATAAAAATAAAATCATCTTATGCATACTTAGTTGCTGGTTAGTTCGTCCTGAAAAGCTTGCTAAAAATAAATCAAAGTTTTGTTATCTCAGTCATAATCGTTAAATATTAACGATGCACATTTATGAACTCTGTACATTTCAGATGCCGAGAACTCATGCGTCAGTAACTGAATGTGAAATAAATGGGGGCAGAATTAAGATGGAGTGTTTACTAAACTTACGTTAAACCATTTATTATCCCATCTATGAAAGCACATTTAGTTTATCCATAAAAGCTTATAAATAATGTATGAATCATACTTGCTCTGACACAAAATGTTAAGCAAGGTGTGCTATAAAATATTAAAAATATTATATATTGATAACTTCCACTAAATGAAGCAGCTGTTTGTTAGCCATATGTTTTTGCTTTCGTTTGTCTCTCGAAATCAAACATTTTATAAAAGTTATCTTTGTTCCTTATTAGTTTTATGTTAGTTGTTATCTTAGAAAACGTGCATGCATGGTGTGTTTGATCAAAGATTTAATAATAAATACTGAAATTGCAAACACAAAACCTGGAAGTTGAAAACTGGAAGTATATATAATTCTATAATTCTGCCTTTTCTCAGAAAAAAATATTATTCTGTATACATTACAATAATGTATATAGAATATAGAATGACCACTGGTTTGAATTACAAACATCTGTGTAATTCAAACCAGTGGTCAACATCTAATTTTTTTAAATAAAATTTCAGGCTTTCTACACTCATTTTCAATGAGTGTATTCAGTGTGACGATTCAAAATAGTTGACATTAATTATTTGTCACACCTTACAGGCAGAGGTGATGTCACACTGTGTAAGAGTGCTGCCACTGTGAAAATAGATTTTACTTGTATATCAAAACAAAGACAAAATGATAATAAATTAAAGTCTTACTAAAAAACCTATCAAATGTTTTGGTATTTGCATCATTCACAGCTGTATTCACTTCATACAGATTTAATTAGGGGGATTTTTACTGGAATGACATTTACATACATAAAGTATCATTTTTCTGTGTCGCAGGCTGTGATTGGTCAAATGTGAACTATTTCACACCCAGAGACACCAGTCAGCTGGTCACATGGCAGGATGGACGCTGCAGCAGTGACTTCCTGTCTTCTCTTCCAAAGCCGGAGTCTCACCTCGGCGTTTCCACGGGCTTCGGCTGCGCGACGATCTTCTGGTACATGAAGCACAGGTTGTTGCGCAGCTCTTTCAGGCTCCACTTCCCTCTATGATCTGATAAAAATAAATAAATAAATAAAACAGACATTTTGTTTTCCCCGGTTTCTCTGTAGGCCTCAATTTCTGGATGACTTCAGCGTTGCAGGTACGATCCAGGACTACGTGGTGTCCATGCTGTGCGGGTTGGACTCGTGCGTGATGACGCCTCAAAATGCAGCCAGCTGGGGCTTCTTCAACACCGCAAGCAGTCAGTGGAACGAGAACATGTACGTCACACCCAGAGTCACCAGCAAAAGCTAAACTCTGCGTCCTGCGGCTTGTGCATGTATGATTTGAGCTGTAAAAGCACCTAGCAGTTTCCACCATCGCCACCAGAGAGGTGTGTGTCCTTCTTAACAACCTGCCCTGTGTGCATGCTGTAGTCTGAAGGCTGCTGGCTTCCCCGTTCGCCTGCTTCCTCGGTGTGTGCCGCCTGGTGCCTTGGTGGGACAGACGCACTCTGACTGGCACGGCATTCCTGCTGGTACACCAGTAGGGGCCGCTCTAGGAGACTTCCAGTGCTCCGTCTACTCCTGCATGAGTTCACCAGCAGATGCAGGTGAAACAGGAAGTCAAGTCTTTACTATGATTTAGTGCGCTCCATCTCTATGCTTTTTAAATAAGGAGATCAATTTGTTTCCACTAGAAAACCTAACAAAGCTGATCTGATTAATGCATGAAATAAAATGTCTCATGCTCCTGTTTTGATTTAGGTTTAACTTTGAGCACCAAAGAAGAAGTTTTAAAGTATTTGAAACTCCATATCTGAGAGGCTTTTGTCGTTTTTGAAAATCTCCCAGTTCTCAACATAAGCACATCAGCCCAGCTGACGTTCGCCATGCCAGGTGACTTCACGCCTCCTAACTCTCCTCAGCTTGAGTCGTCCATCTCCTACTTCCCTTACTTTGACTCGTCGTACTTGGCTGTGGCGGCGTCTCTCAACGGCGGGAACGCGTTGGCCACTTTTGTGGAAACGTTGACCGCGTGGACGAAAGAACTCGGTAAGTTTTACTACACAGCAGTACCTCGCAAAGCTGCGTTTACTCCACTAATATTTTCACACCTCAGTGTGGTTTATTGAGACTTTATGTGACAGATCTTTACAGAGTAACATCAGGGTTTCCCATAGTGTACTATAAGCCTGGCGGGCCACCAGGCTTTACTTGTGCCCCCACCAGGCTAAGCATTGTTTATTTTATTTTGTTTTTTATTATTGCCTTTTTACTTCATAGTTGGTGCTTAGGTATTACTCTTCTAGTCTTCCAGTAAAGCATAACTATCAGGTGATATTTTCAAATTTCCTGTCAACTTTAAACATTTTTTTAACTCACAAACATGGCGGCTGGCTGGATGAATGACTGCCATAGCGCCCTGAGCACCAGGCTTAGCAAGTCTTACCCTGAACACGCACATTATTTTCAACACTTTTATAAATAAAAATCTGAAAAGTGTGTCTGGAAAACAGTATGTATTCAAAGTTTATACTCTGTGTAACTCTCTTTAGCGCAAGGACAGCTGCACGTCTTTCTGAGTGTCGGCCAGCTGATAGGTCGATCAGTGATTGGCCGGTGCTTACATGTAAAGGCAATTGTAGCCACCAATCTTATCTACATTGGCAAAAAAATCTAAAAATAAAACGCTGTTTCCTGTTGCTCTGCTATGAGAGAGGTTCTCCAGTTAACATTAGTCACCCTCCTGTTGCCAACTCAACGACTTTCTTGCTACATTTAGCAACATTTCAATAATTGGTATTTGTCAAAATCAGAATTGACAGGTCAAGCTTTTTAAAGATCGGTGATTGGCCAGAAAACTGCCATCGGTGCACCCTTAGTATCTCTCTATCAGCTTTGCGCATCTAGATACATTTCTTTCCCGATTCTTCTTTGCAAAATACCTCGAACTCAGTGAAATTAGATGCATCTGTAAACAGCAAGTTCTAAGACCTCAGATTCTCAATTGTGCTTTGACTGGGCCATCATGACACATGTGGAGTGTACTTTAGAGTAATTACTGTGGGGAAAGTGAACTTCTGCTCCTTTTTAACCCTGTCAGGTGTGGAGCCGAAGGACTCGTGTTTGTACGAGAAGCTGATTGGCTCTGCCCTGAACCAGGAGAGCAGCGACCTGATGGTGAGTCCCACCATCCTGGGGGAGAGACACGCCCCCCTCTGCCTGGGTCAGGTCACCAACATCTCCGCCTCCAACCTCTCGCTGGGCCACGTGTTCAGAGCGCTTTGCCGCGGCGTCGTTAGCAACGTCGCCTCCATGATGCCCGTGGAGCACCTGCAGCGGGCCGGCGTCCGCAGGCTGGTGGGGAGTGGGAGCGCGCTCGCTCGCAACGAGGTGCTGAGGCAGGAGGTGGAGAGGGCGTTTCCTCTCCAGGTGGTTTACGGACAGAATGCAGACTCCGCTGTGGGTGTGGCCATGGCCCTCTGTGACCGACTCTGAACAGCCGACTGGGGAATCCCTGCATGTTTATTTGATTCGCTGAGATTATTTTGCACAACTTTTGAGACTTT